ATATATATATATATATATATATAGAGAGAGAGAGAGAGAGAGAGAGAGAGAGAGAGAGAGAGAGAGAGATATCAGAGAAAAACTAAATGATTGATCATCCATCCATCCAGGCTTCTACCGCTTGTCTTTCAGGGCCATAGGTGGGTGTCGCAAGGGGTGCTGGTGCCTTTCTCCAGCTGTCTACGGGCAAGAAGGGGGGTACACCTTGGACAGGTTGCCAGTCCATCGCAGATGCAAGATCATATTTCTTCTATTATAGTTAAAGTGGAGAATTTTCGTGATCTTTTGAAAAGACCTGCCCTCTCCCCTTTCAAAAAAAAAAAAAAGCACATGCACAACCCTGTACCCACTCCCGAGAGGGAATGTCTATTAAGCGCGTATGAGAGCATGCAAGACCCCTTTTCCCCTCGTAAACACTCTGTTTAAAAGTTGCTGTTTGCATCACTCATACAAGCTTACTTTGAAAAAGAAGATTAGCAATTTTTTTCACTATGTCAGACTCAGCACCGGTGAGTGAAAATAGGGAGGAGCACATAGGACAGCCATATGTAAACATATCACCATAATGATTGACAATTAGGAGGAAAATCTTTTTTGATGATCCACCTGGGAAAAGAACATCCTCCACTATATATTTAACCATCAGCCGCTTTATTCTAAGTCCACAATAGAATTAAAAATTCCCCTTCATCGATAATTTAGCAATGTCATATCATAGATACCTGATTGTTCAATATGTTCGTAACAGGACCTCACCCCCAAAAAAGCGCAGGTTTACAGGTGGTTCTTAGAATTTCAAAAAAATTAATATTTAGCAAAGTAGCCTCCTTTCCTGTGGAACTAACCCCCTGTTTTAGTCTGCAGGCATTCTGTCCTCTTGTAAGACTACACTTAAAACTTTTATTTTTAGTTAGATTGGCTGAGGTTATCCTGAGCTTTCTCTGTAGTTATTTATGTACTATAAGTTTAGGCTGCTGGGCGACATAAAGATCACTTTTCCACAGTCTGCTACATTCTACCTCTGTTCTCCAATTTTTATTTATTTGTTACAAGAACTATTAAATTCATGCGTTTAAAAAATGCATTCATTTAAAAAAAATTATATCACTGACAAAATTGAATTCAATTACATAGTAATAAAAGACAGTAAAACTTAAAATAGTTATACTTTAAAATAAATTGTTTTGTGATTTAATGAAGATTGTAGTTTATTTTATTGCAATATATTTTACTGCAATGCAATTTCTTTGTTCAGCCGTCAAAATGATTAGTCAGAAGGGGCTTGAAAAATGTCTTTTGAATCACAAGGAGGCACACCAAGAAAGTCTGGGAACCACTGTTGTAGATGATGCTGTTTGATCTGTTTTTCAATGTTTAGTCCTGTCTCTACTAGACAGAGCTTTTACTGCAACAAACTGTAGTTTCTCTCCTCCATTCTCTTGGCCTCGAAACTGGCTCAGAGCTCATCAGCTTAATTGTGCTTCTTTCTAAGGTCATGCCACCTATAGAGCTAGTCTACTATTGCCTTCTCTAACATAGGAAGTATCTATGGATCAATGCTTCTGTGATCTTTTAGTATAGGAATTAGGAAAGATTGCTGTTGTTTAGGATTACAGGAAGGAGAGGGGGGTATCATGAAATAAGTTTCACTTCTTCATACCCTCTCTTCTACATAATCATTAAATTGTACATGTATTTATCTATATATAATTAAAATTATATAATATTTTTATGTTTTGCATTTGTAATTTTACCGGATTGTCTGAATTAAAGCTGTTCATTCATTAATACATTCATTCATTCAACCATTCATTCAATCATGTATACTACTGGGAATCAAAGAAACTGTTGAAGAAACAAGGTCAGGTGTTCACTTAAAGAAGAAAAAGTTTTGACCCACACTGGAGAGTTCTGGAGTAGTTTGAGGTTATGGAGGGGCTTGGGGTATTAGCAAGACCAGCTGTTTGTCATCAGTGTAACAGCTACACTTCATATTATTTTTGCATAATATGTAGCCATGAGGGAGGATAATAATGAACAAGGGGGAATATGGAACACTGGGGAACACCTTCAGAAACAGGAAACAATCTTTAAGAGTGGGATTTACACTGAATAAAGGTTTTGGGGTAGAGATTTATCAGGCAATTGGATAATGAGTTTTAACAATGCTTGACTGTTCACTGAGGTGTGATTGGAGCTTGGAGGCTGCAGCTTATTCAATGAAAAAAAAGGGAAGAGATTGATATTGGATGACGATGATCAAAGGTATTTGGATCTGCAACAGGCTTTTTGAGAACTGGAATAACAACACTGTTTTTAGAGATGAAAGAGCCGTTCAAGAGTTAAAGGAAGAGTGGATGATAGTGGTTATGAAAGGAATGAATGGGGAAGTTTTAACTGGAAAAGGGTCAAGCTGGCTGGCAGGTAGCTGATTTTGATTTTTGGATAACATTTTATTTATTAGTTTTGGGAAGAAAATTGACACGTAAATATAGCTGACAGGAAGACAGTGGGTTTAACAGGACAACTGGCATCAGCTGGTTAGTTGGCTTAGAGTAGAACTAGAATACGTAGAAAGTCCAATTTGCATGTTTTAAGAACACACAGCAAACATGGAAAACCGCTTTCTGTTTTGGTGAGATGAGTCCAAAGTGGACTGTTATTTACTTATGTGTAAAATAATGAGTGAGAAATAGCAAGAAACTGAGACTTTACATTGCTTTTTTGCCCACTTGACAATACAAGATATGGAGGTGGCAGCACCATAATGTTTTCCAGCAGGGATACAAGGAGCCTGGTCATGGTATAGAGAAAACTGGATCAAACTTAATTTATCCCAGTCTTTTACTCAAATAATCAAACATTGAACTATTTTTCAAATGAGAAATTATATAGAGAAAATATAGTTTTTGTGCAACTTTCTTTAAAATAAAATGACGTTTTTGGTTGTAATGTAACCGAAAAAATGAAAAAGTTAGATTAATACTTTGCATAAGACTTTGTTTTCCAAGTTTCAAACTTGGAAAACAGAGTTACGTGGGTTGCTGTTGTTGTTTCGCAACATATTCCTGTATTTATCACATGTATGTTTATATAAAATAAAAAGTGACGCCGTACTAATGAACAATCCGTTCTTTTTCTACTCTTTTTATTAAGTCAGCTTGCAACGTGGCGCCTGAAATCCTCTAATATTACGAAAATCCCGTCTAGGAATCGGAAGGAAGATTTGATTGGACCAAGAGGAGAAAACTGTGAAACGCGGCCTGTGATTGGCTGTACGTAAAGCGGCAGGAACTCCCGGGTTGGTTGCATCCTTAGCTCTGGAAGAGGACGGCACTGCTATCAAACTGTACTAGTGAGGAGCTGGAGGTGTTTTTAGGGGGGGACTAGGAGCCATTGCTGTTGTTTTATTTTTTAACAGACTTTTCTTCCAACGTATGAAAAAGAAAGCTCGTTTTTTTTTTATAGGTGTAGCTAGCAAAACAAGCAACAACTGCTGCTGACGCTTTGCCAACTGACTATACAGGCCTGTTAGTGTGTGTTTAGGGGGGGGCTACTGATTAAAGTCAGCATCATTACCAGAAACTGATGGCTTGTGCTAGTTTTAGATTGCTGATCGCTGTGATCTTGAGCGCCTTCGTCGTAAATGCGAAACCCACGCTGAGGAAAGAGAGGGTTCTCCGTGATCCAGAGCAGAGCAGGCAAGCCCACGAAGACAATAAGAGCTATCAGTATGACCATGAGGCCTTTCTGGGTAAGGACGAGGCCAAGACGTTTGACCAGCTCACCCCAGAGGAGAGCAGAGACAGACTGAGGTAAGAAAGATGCTCTGATTTATTTATTTCTGCTATTGTAAATATAAACCACATGTTGGGGTGTGTGTTAAGCTATAACATGTTCCTGTATGTTATACTACACGCTAACAGGAGAGCATAGAGTCTGCTGCTTCTAAATTATTATTAAAGATCAGCCCTGCTGTTGCACTAAATGTGTTTTCACTCTCAAAGCTGTGCAGCCACTATGTTGAAGGTGTGCTTTCAAGTTGGCATTATGTGCCACATATGTGTGAGCTGTGGAGCTGAGAGTGGGAGGACCCTCCCCAGTTGGAGCATCTCAACGTGGCAGCACATATGTCTAAGAATACACCACATCCCACAGTGCATTTTCATTACTAAAATTAGATTTGCTCTGCTCCACCCACTGGAGTAATCTCTGAAGGTGTGTCCCTTTAACTAAAATACTTAGATGTGCACCAATTAGGCTTTTTTTTTCTTCCCCACAGCTGCTGCAGATTTCTGACCCATTAGATTCTGTTACTACACATTTATAAGCCAATGCTTCTGTTAAGCTACCACTGCATGTTTTTATAGATTATCAAGGACGCATGAGTCAAATAGCCCTATAAGGTTTCTATTTGAAATAAGAATTAACATGTGGTATCATTATCATCCATGTCCTCGTAGCAAAATCGTGGATCGTATCGATGGAGACGCGGATGGATACATCACAACGGATGAACTGAAGGCCTGGATAAAGCGTGTCCAGAAGCGCTACGTGTACGAGAACGTAGCAAAGGTGTGGGCTGATTACGACCTGAACAAAGACGACAAGATCCAGTGGGATGAGTACAAGCAGGCCACGTATGGATACTACCTGGGTATGGCTTCTTTGCTGGGAGATAAGCTCTGATTTATCTAAAGATGTACCAATCAGGCTTTTCTCACCCAATATGAGTGACAATATAAAAAAAATGATCCATGTTATATTTAAAAAGCCCATAAATAACTGAAGGGATCCCTTTAAAGCATCAAGTAGTTTCTCGCTAACACCTATCTTATTTCTTTAGAACTTAAAAAAAAGATGGATTAAGGTATTTGATTCATTTGTTTACACACCGATGTCTTAATTTTGATTTAATTCATTAGAAGAAAAATTCAAGAATATTATATTATATTGTTATTAAGGGATGTTTACAATTATAGGCATTTTAACAAGTGAAGATACAGATAAAAGCTGATTTTTTTCCAACTTCTGATTTTCATTTTTTTAATTTTTATAACAGATATAGAACCAAGGCACGTTTTGGTTGGAAATATCCATTTCCTATCACATCCCTTCTAATATTGATTTATGAGTGCTGATTTTCATTTACTTATAAAAGTATTCACTCAGCCTTCTCGTACCTACAAAGAGGGACAGCTCTGAAAGAGAGGCCAGACTCTCTTTGACTCAAGGTTCTTTTAACATTATTCTAGTTTCTTTAGCTGTCTGTAACTTATTTTTGATTAACTGTATGCGGAAAAACATCCACAACATTTTGCTGTCTTTAAGGGTTAGTAAAATCTCTTCTTGCTTGCAACGTGAAATGAAGAAGGCAGGATCTTCAAGGAAGAGTGCAGGATCTCAAATAGTTAAATAAGATTTAGACTTAGACTAGCTTCAGACTTTTTTTTTTTCATCAACATTATAGGACCGTTTGATGGAATTGTTGTCATTACACGTCTTTTTTTTTACACCGGAATATAGAAAAGGTGATTAAATCTGTTCCTTGCAGTTCAGAATGGTCTGATTTTTGAACCATCATGGGTTACTTGTATGACCGAAAGGTAAAATAATTAGGCACTGATGTTGCTCTTGTAGTATGCATCAAACACTGTCTTACTAGTTAAAAAAAAATTCCTGAATTACCTTATATAGACTGATTGCCTAGCGACCGCTGTATCTCTGAAGTCGACAATCATGGGCACTCGTTCTCATACAGTTAGTTTAAAGGTATTGTGGAGGATTTTCACAAATTTTTTAAAAGACCCGCCCTCTCACTTGAAAAACAAAAGCACATGCACAACCCTGTACCTGTTCCCGAGTTGGAACACCTATCAAATGCGTTTGAGAGCATGCAGAAGCTCATTTTTCCTTGTGCACACTCTGTTTTAAAAGTAAAAGTAGCAGCGGGATGAGCACGTAGGGCGGCCTTACTTAAACATATCACCAGAGTGATTGACAATTAGGAGGACCACTTATTTAGATAATCCACCTGGAAATAAAACATCGTCCTCTTTACCTTTAGGCAGTTTGCTGAGCTGTTGTTAAAAATTATCAAATCAACACGACACTACCCACTCCCACTTTGACTTTTTTTTTTGGAACCTTTTGCAAGATGCTGGAAAACAATTAAATGCAAGTAGAGAGAACCGGTTAAATTAAAAACATAGCTTGAAGCCCAAAAACAAAGCTCAGTTAAAGAATTTAGAATCGTGGGGGGAGTTGGAAAAACATTTCATAAACAGTTACAGGAAGCCATTCTCCCCTCTTTCTAGTGTTGTGTTGGTTTTGGAAAATCTCTGTTTATACATCTCACTTCTTGTCACCAGAAAGCTTCACTATCCTCTCCAGACTCAGAGCTAAAAAACTGAAAACTGGGTAATAGGCCTGACTGATCTATGTTCCGTGCAGGAACATAGATAGATAGATGTTGACACAGCTTTCAGGGACTTTCACCACTGAACTGCTAAACATGGTAATAACATCCATCAGTGTCTCAGTTATGCCAGATCTTTAAGCCATTTATAATGGTGTCTGAGCGCAAAGTCATAATTTACACATAGCCATGGTTTTAACCCCGCCCACCCCTCTTATGATTTGTTCTCAACTGGTTTGTGTTTGACCTGCTGATCAGTTCTCAGACAATTAGGGGGAAATAAGCTGCTTGTTAAATCTCTATTTCTTTATAACGGCATCTTTAAAAAGTTGCATCACTGCTGGATAATAACCTGATTTTAACCTCCGTTCTCAGCCAATCCACAGGAGTTTGAGGACGCCACAGACCAGTTCAGCTTTAAGAAGATGCTTCCTCGGGATGAGAGGAGGTTTAAAACAGCAGATCTGAACGGTGACCTGGCAGCAGACAGGGAAGAGTTCACATCCTTCCTCCATCCGGAGGAGTTTGAACGCATGAAAGATATTGTGATTCTAGTAAGTCCTTCCCTTCTGTGAACCATCATTAAATAGGATTATTTGAGACACTCCACCATAGGTTTTCTTATTAGGATGAAACTAAAGGACCCTAAAGAAGTTAAATCCCCTAAAAAGTCAATGATATTACTCATTTCCATTGAAAATTTTAGATAATTTGTCCACCTTTTGGATGACATCCTAATCAAACTTTAACCGGTTCCGTAAATCATTGTGACTGTTGAATTTTTTGGAACAGGCCCAGTGGGAACGAACACAGTCCCATTAAAGCCTCCATCTTTAAATATAAATCTGGGTTTGCTGAACGTTGGCGGCGGCAAACGTTAGCGGCGATGCATTACCCTGCCATGTTCATAAAACTTGTACCACCCATTTGACAGAGTTAATAATTCAACTCTTAACAAAGGAACGGCTCAGACGGCGGCGTTTTTAACTGATCCGGGCTGTAATGAACACAGTTGTCACAGATTCGACTCCCTATAACTGATACACAGATGTACGTGGCCGACTCCCCCATCCCCTCCTCAAACCTCAACAACTTATTCCCATCTTTTACACGGCTCTGCAAAAAGGAGTCTTTGATAGCGCCTGTTGTTCCGGAGAGAAACATAAGAAGGAGGCACTTTGTGGCTGAGGGAGAACATGGCTGTAGGGTAGCGGGACAGAAAACTAATGGAGTTTGTTGTGCAGGTTCAGGCAAGAACATAAAGTCTTCTCTGAGTGCCAACTATACACCCACTCACTCCTTCACATAACAGAGCTCTCTGTTAGAATCTCTGGCTTCATATTTCTACCTGCTGTGATCTCATTATTTCTGATCTCAGGGGACAGATATTGAACATCTACCAAACAACAAACTCTAGTCTTCCTTGCTAGCGATCCAAATCTAGAGGAAAGCCAATCAGGCAAAGATGATCCAGATACTTTCGAGTAAAGACAAAGCCAATCGCAGCCCATCATCACAGTGGATCCTGATCAGAATAAATTCAGATGCATATAAAATGGGAAGTACTGTGATATAAACAGGTGGTGGCACTGCAGCTCCCAATTTCAGTTAAAACTAAAACTGATTTTGTGAATATTAAAAAATCACTTTTTGTTTGGTGGAAATGATTCCTAGATGATTTCTGAGATGATTTTGTTTTCAATGAGTCTGGTTCTGCTGGAGGTTTCCTCCTGTTAAAAGGGAGTTTTTCCTCTCCACTGTCGCTACAAGCATGAATCAGTGAGTCAATGCAATTGTCTGGTTTTCCTTGGATAGAAAACTTTGAATCAAGTTGACTGTATGATCTGGTTGAACTGTAAAGTGCTTTGAGATGACGTGTTGGAAATTGGCGCTATAGAAATAAACTGAATAGAATTGAATTTTCACAGCATCAAACAATCATTCTGCTGATTTTCTTCCTGTAGTGGGTATTTCATTTGCCTCTTAGGAAAATGTAATTTCTCTCTTTATATATGTTGCACATAGAGAAAAATAAGACTGACTTTTTGTTTGAAACATCAAATTGTTTGTCGGCACTTAAATTCGGGCTGCATATTCATGACAACAAGGCTGTGATTTAGGTTTACTAGAGACAGATTATTAATGCAGAAATGTTTCTTTATGTGCATTAAATCGTCTTTTATAAACTTTGGAAAGGTGCTGCAGTTATTCATGCCGTTATTTAAGCCGGGTTTAAAACTGTGATTTCGGAAAGTCTGCTCTAGATTTTAGATGCAGTGTCCATGAAGAAGTGTTCCCCCCAGATATTTAAATATAGAATCTAAGCATTAGTTATACCTGCTTAGTGCTAAATATTTTCAGAAAAGACAAGAAAACCATCTAACTATACTTTTAAATAGCCTTTTTCTGGTCTGTTGAACTTACTGATTGCCTCTCAAAAATATGTTGTTTATAAAAACGTCAAAAGTGTTTTAGATCATTTTGCATAATTGGTTGGATTACTAACGTGATCAGTTTTTATCATTTATCTCCTATTATAGCTGATAGTCAAGTTTTGGTTCCCTGTACATTTAAAGAAGTCCCTCTATTTCTGCTGTATAAATGTGACATTTAACTTTTTTTTATGAATACAAAGAAAAAAGCTGGAATGTGAAAGCCGGGTTCTTGACAAATCTGTGTTAACTACCGGTAGTTCTTCTTTCTAGTTTCTTACTGTAATCTCCAATTTTCATCCAAATGATTACATTCTTTTCGATTTCCATTCAACAAATCTTCAAGCTTATCAGACAGTTTTGGATGTTAAATATTGATCTTCTAATGCAACATCCTGATCTTTTTTTTGATAACCAAAATAACAATGTGTGTTACATGGATTGAATCCTCTTAGAAGGGTTTATTGCACACAGATATGTTAAATATGCTCACCTCACCTGTGATGAGGCAGCCTTTTAAAGATGGCAGCCTGGTTAAGGTCATGGTGGAAAAAATAGGACTTTTAGCTGCTATTTACGTAAGGTGCCAACAAGCATCCGTCCGTCTGCAGTGAACAGGATTTCTGGGTTTGCTCAATTTCACTGTTTGTATTTATCAGATATAATCTGACAGGGATAAACCTGCAACATCTTTATTAAATCTGAGAAAACATGAATTAGTTTTGAATGTTTAATTTTCACTAACTGTTTTCTGAGAAATGTTATTTCGCTTTAAAGGAAATAAATGAAGTGGCTTAAGTTCTCATTAGAAGCGATGTAATCGCAGTGTCAGTCCGCCATCTCTGCTAAAAGTCGACCCTCGCACGTTTATTCACTTTTACAGCCAGGGGCAACATGTTTCTCTTTTAGCTCCTCGCAGTGGAAGTCCCATTACACTTGACCCTCGTGTTTCCTGTTAATGACGCTGTTAACTCGTTCTGAATGCAGGAAACGCTGGAGGACATTGACAGGAATGGTGACGGACATGTGGATGAAGACGAGTACATTGGTGAGTTTTAGGGAATTAAATCCTGTCAAATAAGTCGACTGAAACAAAACAAAAGTTTTGAGAAATCACTAAGTGGCAGACTCTGTGAACAGAGAGGAAATAAGAGGAACGTGGAGGCAAAGGGTAGAAGTCCCAGTTGTTGGGTTGAGAAGATATTTTATTTCCAGAATCATCCAAGTTATTAGGAAGCTAATAGTAATACTTTTCTTTAGCATACAGTCAAAGATGCTCATTTCTTTCCAATACAGTTAAAAACTGTATAAGGATATTTTAAACCCAATGTTTTTCCCAAAAAATGTAAAGAAAATCTGCAGATGTTTGCTTAAGAGCAGAATACAAATGTTAAGCAAATGTTTTAAGGTTTTCTTTTGGTTTGTTATTTGATTTTACTAAAGATTTTTAAAAGGATTTTGTGCTTTTATTTATTGATTTATTTATCAGATTAATATATTTAGCATTATTGGTTGTTATTCAAGAAAATGACTTAAAGGAAAGACTTAAAAATACCCTCTCCTAAATCACAGTTGGATTTTTTTTTATTTGAAGCTGACATGTTTGCTCACGAGGATGGGGGTCCTGAGCCAGACTGGGTCAGGACTGAGAGGGAACAGTTCTCTGACTTCCGAGACCTGAACAAAGATGGAAAGATGGACCAGGATGAAATCAGGCATTGGATCCTGCCACAGGACTATGACCACGCCCAGGCCGAGGCCAGGCATCTGGTGTACGAGTCCGACCAGGACAGGGTATGCTGCCTTAGATACTGTCATATCTGTTTATATGAATCATAAAGACTCATCTTGCCTCTTCTGTCTCATCAGGATCAGAAACTGACCAAACAGGAGATTCTTGAAAACTGGAACATGTTTGTCGGAAGTCAGGCCACCAATTATGGTGAGGACCTCACCAGGAACCATGATGAGCTTTGATATCTCAATGGAGTGGGCTTCACACGCATGCCTCTCCAACAGACACTTTAGATTCCACATAAGATGGACAGAAGATGGTCCTGCTAAGGTTTCCTGGACCTTTTCCCTCCTCTTTTAGATAGTTTTGTTCCTGACATTCAGGAGCAAATCCAAGGGGGTCCAGCTCTGTTTTTTTTTTTTTTTTAATCAGTGCCTTCCAGCCATGGAGCAGCAGGTTTTGCTGCCTCAGAGATTTGTATAAATGATTTTACCGTAGATCAAACCAATCATTGGTTATATGAACAATTTGTGATAGCATCGATAATGTGAAACTTTGTCTTAGAGGATTTATTGTGATTCCTGTTATTAGATGTTTATCAGATAACCATGATGATGAAAGTTAACGAGCCGTAGGATATTTCTTTTTACTGAACTTGTTTCTGTGTTTGCAGTCTAATTACAGTTTTACTAACTTGTAACGGGTTTCTTTTCAGTTGAAGCAATTTTTTTTTTCAATAGATGTTACATGGCATGAATTTTGCACGGATTTTGGTTTTAATGTAGCCTGTGAACATCTTTTTTTTTTTTCTTCTTCCTCTTATTTTTATTGTATTTATTAGTATTTTTAAAGACGTGTTACTTATCATTCAGCTGTTTTAGGTTTTAGTTGAAAGCATTATTTTTTTACTTAAAAGCAGGAAATACATCTGGGGGAAAACGGTAATAGTTTTTAGTTTAGTGTGGACATCCTACATAGTGGCTTTTGCCAATTTTTGTTTGTCCTTTCAGGGAGTTTGTGACTTTGATATTATAAAAGAAAATCAAAAGAAAACAGTTATTCAGACATATTTATAGAGATCAAAATATTGTTAAATCCTTTTTTTCCTTTTTGTGAGAAACTGCGAACACTAAGGTGTATATATATATATACCGTAATTCCGACCAGTTGCATAAAAAGTAAATGTCTATTGATAAATGCCTTTTTTGTTTTGTTTTTTGTTTAAATCCCTGTCCTTTATTACATTGTAATGACTCTATGACTTTTTTTAGGGTCTGAGGTGTAAAAGAAAATGGTTACTGAACTGTTTACAAAAGGTTGTGAATTCTAATGCCATTAAAACAAAAAAATCAACATATGAGATTAAACATATAAAATACAAGAGGTTGTATCACGTTTTTTTTTTTTTTTCACTGTTATTTCGCAACAATATGTTAGATTACCATATAATCTGGCCAGTGAGAGTCCAGATTTTTGTTTATTATTATTTTTAGGAGGGAAAAAAATGCTTTCCAACTTTTAACAGGGATATAATTAAATTGAAAGAAATATACTGATCTCTGAAATAAATAGATTAGTTTTTTCAGTGATCAGAGTATCGTAGTACACGGGAGGATTTGTATTCCTTCACCACACCACAGCCAATGAGGCATAATGGGGCTATTCAAGCACACATTTAGGCTTTTAGTTTCCTGCACTCTGTCCCTACACTTGAATCGTAACATTTTCTTACTTTTCCAGACAACTAATCAAAGCCTCTCAAACATTAAATCCTCCGTTTTGTCTTCTGATTCATTGGACATAAGAAACAAGCATATGCTGTTGACACTTCTTGAGACTAATTGCGGTCCACATGCACTGCAGATCCGGAGTTAAGATGACTTGCTGTTGCTGCTGGCTGTTGCAGTAAAACTCTCGGATGTAACTGAGAAAGCGACGCTGCCACCCAGCCTGTCCCCTCTGCTTCCTCATGTGGAACACACAGATATGTGTGCCAGTTAGAAAAACAAGTCAAGCGGGACCAATGCGATAAAGCTCATTAGGAACAAGGGATGGAGCAATGGATGCCTGTGTTGGCTTCGTTATTGTGTTATATCGTAGGACATTACTTTAATCTCAGAGCAAAAGCAAAACTCCTTTTATGTTAGGATGTTTTTACTGTTTACTTCAAATAATTAGATGGCATCGTAGGAAGGGGATATTTAAGTTTGCTTTATCTAGTTTTATATGGGTTTTTTCCAGGTCTTAAAATCAACAAGGTGTTCCTTGTTTGAAATGGACTGATACATCGGCCGATATTCTGCTTTTCTTCCATGTATCGTTAGCACTCCCATTTGTTTGCTGATTCATTAGTGCATTTTATTTTTCATTGGTGCATATATAGCAGCCATGCTTCAGATCATGTAGCACTGTGGTTCCCCTGCATTTTCTATGGAGTTAAAATAAGGGCCACAAAGTTTGTTCACATTTAAACTGAAAAGATAGAAGAAAAGAAGTTTGATACTCATTTTTATTTTTTTATTTTTTACTGCAATGGAGAGAAAAATTTAATTTGAACAATATTTTTAGAACTGAAAAAAAAAAAAAACATTTTAATGGAAAAAATAAATAAACTAAAGCACTTGTTTTAATCACATACAAATGTATTTATCATGCTTTAATTGCATTTCTAGTTCCTACTATTTCTGAATGTAATGGCAGGGAATATATGCCTAAAGTCATACTTTGACATCCAATGTTATCTAACCCCTGCCACCACAAAGAGGGAACAGCAGTTTGAAACTTAAGAAAAAATCTGAAACTGAAAAAAGAAATCTTGAACGTGATGAGAAGTGTCAAACACTTCTTTTCAGTTTAAAATCATTCTTTGCATATTTCATGTCCTTTTCAGTTTTAAACATATATTTCTCTTTAAAAGTTGTTTTTGAAAAAACTTTATGGAGCCCATTTAGCTTTAGCTTTTTTGTTAATAGACGTTATTTTGCTTACATTGTGTAACATTTTTTCTCATTACGTTATCTCTATTGCTATCATATATAGGAAGAAAGAAAAAGCTATATCTGCTCGAAGAATCTGCCCTAAAATAAGGGCTGCAAGTATAACTGATCAGCTGGACTGATATCAAAATATTCGCCATCAGCCTTAAAAAATCTGTATCGGAGCCCATGGGCTCTCTGCAATGGCCCCTTTGGACCCCGGCACTGTGGCCTTTAGGGGTGAGCCCATCAGCGACTTGGTCCCTTTGGGACTTGGCCCCTTAGGGTTTGGACCCCGGGTGCTCTCGTCTGCCCTGCTCTGGCAGGTATGGCCGTCTCTATATCTGCCCTCCCAATGATCTGAGGTGCCTCTGTCTATCTGGGTTTTGCGTCGCCTCTTTTTCTGTCCTGGGCCCTGTAGGACGAGTCTGGGGCCGCCCACACCTCCTATTAAGCATATTTTCCTTTATGAAGAAGCTTTTATAAATCCTTTAGAAGTATGCCCATGCATTTATACCATGGCGGTTTGGTTCCAGATGTTGACAGATACACACTAATATTTAATATTAAGCTGCAGCTGTAGATATATACTGTACCCTCCTGAATAATATTTATCATCATCGGTTCTGACTCCAACGCACATGGACATTTAAAGGATACTCGCTACTATAGTTGTCTGTTGTCTTCTTTTTGCTGTTATGTTCTTTTCTTTTTTTTGTGCCTCTCGTCTCATACAGGTGTGGAAGCAGACTTCTAGGAGTTACTGTAAATCTTCTGTGTTGTCTATTTTTGCTGTTTTGTTTTATTTTCTCTTTTCATGTACTCTTTCCTGTCTCTATCTCTCTCTTTCTCTCCCCTTAGTTCTTATCCCCTCTTTCTCTCTCACCTCCCTTTTTATGTCCTTCGTATACGCCAAATAATTTTCATAAAGTTTAATGTACAAATATCAAGTGAAACCCTGTGGTAACAGTCATACAGTACTTGTCTGCTTATGAAGGCAAGTCTGTTGGGCCATAGCCATGGGACATCAATTCCCAGAGCTTTATTGGCTAAATGGCTAAACAGCAAGAAAAAAAAAAAAAAAAAAAACTTACTGTGGTTCTCTATTCCTATTTTTTCTCCATTATGGGATGTATTGGCTGCTCCGATGATTTGCATGTTGGATCATTCTAGCTTAATGCATTTAAATATTTGGGAGGTCTGAAACTCCAGAGGTCCTCACTTACTTCAGACGGCATACAAGGTTTGTCATGTGTCACATTTCAGAACCAATGTGTGACTGAAGGTGGATGAGTATCAGTGGGGTGCAGAGATGTAAACGAAACCAAATGTGTCTTTGCTTGAAGATGTGGCAGGAGGGGGCCACACAGGCTAGTTGCCTCTTGGCCATGTTAAACAGTCTGCCCCTCCTGTTTACTCCAGAGTACTAATCATTCACACTGGGTTGGGTTGGGGGGGTGGATGGAGTGTGTGTGTATTAATGCCTTCAGACGGGTCTCATATGAGTGTCTGCATAGATCAGCCCCTCTCCTCTGATAATAATGAGCCCTCTGGGTGAAGATCGAGCTAAAGACGCTCAGAAAAGAGGGTCATAAAGTGCACCATTCAGCAACCCAAAAGATTCATTTCACTTAGGCTTCCCTACTAAACTGCTTCTTCTCATTCTCCACCTCCATTTGCTTATCACCAATTAACAGCAGCAAACTCTGAACTGCCACACCCGTTAAACAGTCTGCATAACAGAATACACAATCCATTCAGCGAGCTGTCACTTCCCTTTGCCTCTTACAATCAAGATGCCTTCTTCTTTATATCTCTGCTCCCTCATGTTTGTCTTATTTACTCTTGTGTTTTGTATCCCAGGCTGTTATTTGCAATGATCTTTGGAACATATAAAGCCAACCCTGCGCTAATGCTTTCATAACAAGCTTTCTGCCCGTTATATAATAGCATGCAGCACAGCAGTACCATTGTGGTGTTTTGCCGATGATATCATGTCTTGACATGACAGCTGAAGGTAGAGGCAATTGGGTTTGCTTCTTTTTGGAGGATAAATTGCAGATTTTCTGCTGTAGTTGAAGACCCCAATCACTCTGCTAGACTCCTCTCCTCTCATATAACACTTAGTTTATTCGTTTGGTTGTTTATAGCAGTTGCACGTACAGATCAGGGTACAGAAAGGAAGCAAAATTATAATGTTTATGCTGTACCTAAACAGGAGAAAATATCTTATCAAATCAGCATTTATCCTTTAGGACAGAGATGATTTATTTTTTTTTCAAGCTAATAACATGATAACCAGATATTTACAAACATTGTCAATTTATGTTGCCAAAGTTATTTCTATTTCCAGGGCTGCACATTGGTCGGTAGAACCGTTGCCTGTTAGAAGGTCCTGGGTTTGACCCAATGCTTGTGCCAGATCTCTCCAGCTTCCTCCTAAAGCTAAAAAACATGACTGATGGGTTAATTGGTTACTTTAAACTGCTTCAAAGTGTGAGTGTATGTGTGCATGGCGTCTTGTCCTGTAATGAGGTGCTGTTCTGTCCTCTTTCCCAGTGACTGCTGGAGATAACATCCCAGCCCCATATCAGCCTTCAAAGACAAGCTAGCGTGTGCAATGAATGAGCCAGAATATTTTTTGTGATTTTTTTTTTTTAATTCGTAAGTGCATACATTTGTAAGCAATACATATAAGCTGTGTAGCTTTAGACAAAGGTGTGTGGGAAATGTATCCTATTCCAGCTAGAATCAGTGAACTCAGCTTCATGAGACCACAGGACATGTTCTGTCATTTACCAAGTGCTTCTTAATGTAGTAGTCCATGCTGACTTGAAACATTTTTTTATTAAATGTCAGACAGAAACAATTTGTGTCTTTTTTAACACTTATAGTACAATATTTTTGTTAAACAGATCAAATCTGCCTCATAGTCAGTGAAAGAACTGAGATCAGTCATGCAGAAGTGTAAAGAGTATCAGTTTATCAGTTTTCACTTAATAAGCCACAATAATTATTTAGTGATTGTTTTGATATTGGAAAAAAAAAAGGTTCAGGATAGAAAATTGATTTTAAATTACTACAGCTTAACCTAAAATGTTGTTTTTTTATCTTTATATTATCTGGCCTAAAGCTTTCTTCTGCCTACTTATTTTTATTGTCCAAACTAAACTTCCCTGCTTTTGGACAATATTTTCTATTCTATTCTAAATAGCTTTCTTTCTGCTTCTGAGATCCTGATAGATATTTTCCCTGACTGGATTTGCAGGTTTTGCAGAATATGTAGTCTTATTATACAGAGAATTTAAGATTATCTGTTTGACTTCTTTTTCCTTCAAAATAATCCTATCATCCAGAAAAATCTTGTCTTTTAGACATCAGTTTAGTTTCTACAGTATCTAAAACATAGTTTTTCTTTTACACGTTCTTCTTAGCACATTGAGTCTTCAGTTTTCCATTGAAATGTTGTGTTTAGATAAATGTGACTTTAATGGATTGATCATATAGGTGATTTATTGAAAGGAGGTATGAATTATTTCAAATTCAGTAGGCATATATAAACAATAATTTGATTGTTTTATTCAATATATACATATAGATATGTGTCAGAAATCCAGCCTGCCCTACAGAAATAAAAAGGCATATTGTGTAAAGAGCAGCCCCTGATGCGCAGACTTCCTCCTGCGTTTATGCAAGGTGTGCGGTTGTATGCTCATGTCATCAATGTAGGCTAATTCAGCGCCTTGCATGTTTCTACTCCTGCACAATGAAGCTTGAAGGAGGGCATCAATCTTTTATGCTATATCTGGGAAAGTGGCCTCCCCTGTTCTCTTCCCCAGCAAAGGGCTTTACTCCTCCTAGTGGCGAGTATACAACACAGGATAGAAATCTGTTACCTTTGAAGAACTGCACTTTGTGCTCATCTATCATCATGATTTTTATGCGCCATCAACACGGTGGAGATAAGAAATTGTCCATTAATGGCTACACAATTAGAGAGAAGGCTTTAAAGAGAGGTAGGTTTCAATTTAGGAACCATAAACCTAGTGAGTTGGGAACTAATTGTAACTGCCTCTTGAGAAATGGAGAGCCCTTATACATGAGGTCAGAGAGACTCAAAATCTGTTTCAAGCAGCTTTTACACGACTGCTTCAGTCATCCACTTCTGACAGGCTGATGCATATTACATTTGATTTACTCGCAGAGAAACTTTTCTAGTTTTAATTAAAGGACAGGGCTCATTCCCAACAGTTTGGAGTCTTTAGCACAAAAGGTGGAGGCAGAGCTGTCCCAGAGAGACCTTATATCTTTGAACAAACTGACTGTCTCGCTCCATTTGTCATTATTCGTCTCCCCTTCTTTCTCCCTGTGTTCCAGCGTCTGAATACCTTTGGGATTGAGGAAAAGGAGACGAGGCAGTTCCCATCTGCTCTCTAGGGAGCTTGATTTAGTGTGTGATCTTTTATCTTACATGATAGAGACAAATCTAATCTGTTACAATCAAATATCTTCCTTTGGTAAAGAGGAGGCAAAGTGAAGTGTGGGGGGAGGAGATGAAAGCAGCTATGTTTGACGAGGGAGCTGAGGTTTTTTTTTTCTTCTTTATTTGCTGGCCCACATAATTATTTTTGCTTAGAGTATACATATGCTCAAGTGTTTGTTTTCCTTTGCCTGCATACCCTCGTGGGATCTTTCCGGCTGTTGCCTTCATATCTGACAGCCTCCTCTCAAGGTGTTTCCCCTCGCTGTCTTTATGTATCTGCTCTTTCTCTGCTCCCTGAGTGAGAAATATTCCCCTCAAGGCCCCATCTGAGCTCCAGGCCCCCTAAGGCCTATGCATTCCCCAAGCCCCCTAAACACAGGAGGCCCTCAGGCTCCTTTGCTGGACCACAGGGAATACCTCCCCACTCCACCCCCCCAAGAACCCCAAGGCCTCTCAGACTGCAGAGCAGCAGCTCTGCAGAAGCAAGCAAGCAGTATTGCCTAAGGGGAGGGTAAAAGCTGTCTGGGAATACAACTAAGAACATGCTTCACTTAGCAGTGGAACAGTCTCTGACAGCACCCCCTGGTGGTGTAGCTTTGTTTTGCACACAGGCCTCCATGTAGTTTCCTCTCTGGGGCTCATGGAGGCCCGTTTGAGCTACATGGGCACTGACCTTTCCAGCTCCCAGAGGTTGAAAAACATCTTTCAACCCAAATAATCCCAACAGGATCTGGATGCTGATGCCTGATGCACATGGGGCTTAAATTGATCTATTAATAAAAAAAATGGTATGCCCTTGATATGATGGGTTAAAATAATATAAAAAAGAGGTTTGAATTTGAATTTATCAAATAGATAAATTCAATTTCAAATAGATTAATGCCTGTTTCCTTGGTTATATTTGTAAAATGCAAGTCCTGGATGCACAGGCATTGAAAAGAAAAGCTTAGAGAGGCTTTGGTTGAGAAGTCTGTAAAGCTAGCAGGCCTGCTGTCCTACAGATGTCTTAGATCGTGTGTTACCAGGTGTACGTCACCTAAGATTACCCACGCTGACACCCCTTAAAGGCAAACAGCCAGCAGTACAGCTGAGGGGGCAGCTGGTGGCGTGTTTGCATGCAAGTTTGGGTGTGTTCATGCATTCAGATTGGAGCTAGCATGAGGATGAGATTCAATCGTCAGCCATATTTTCTGTGTTGGTGGTTAGTGTCTGGCAGTGTTGCTCAGAAATCCCTCCATTCATAAGGAATGCAGTGAATCAAGTAGGTCAGCACAGGGTTCAAGGTCAGCATCTCTCCAGAAGCGCTTGATACAGATAACGGTAATCACTGAGGATTTTTAAAGCATCCGGCTCTCATCTATAGTCTCCGGTCAAGAGTGAACTGGAGTGAGAAAAAATGTTTTGCTTGGCCATCCCTGTGATCTTTCCCATGATTCACAACGCCCCTGTGGTGCCAGAACAAAGAAAAGCCTTTCCTAATCAAAGTGCACGGGATTAAGAAACGGGTGGTGGAGGGGGGGAGATAGAGCCTAACAGCTATTATGTGGATTTGAAAACAGCCTAAAAGACGACTAAAATGAACAGACTGTGACCCTGAAGCAGGAAGAACAGAAGCTGCTAATAGTTTACTTCTGATCACAAAAAAAGAACTGAAAGTGGAGATTGAGAATTTGAGACCATTGCAAAAACGTAGAGAGAAATACAGTGTAATGAAGCAAATTCTGTATTTAGATAGTTAGACATCTGTGGGAGGAGAAATAACATGAACATTTATTTTTAGTTAGATGATTCAACTTTTCTCTGGAAGATACAATTGCCCTGTTAATTAAGAAAAGCTATACCTGTTCCACAGGCAGCCGAATACTCCCAATTGCCCCATATTTCAGAAGAGTAAGTAAGTAATGCATGTAAGTAATAATTGTCTGTATATATATATAAACATCTGATTTGTTTTTTTTTTTTTTATTTTACAATATACCTTTTCTTATTTTTCTTTGTATTATCTTTAGCAAATGGCATTATGCAGAAGTCTTGTTTCTTGATTTTGATGTCCTTTGTATCCTTGATATACGTTCTATCATTCAGGAACATCATTTTTATCTACGCAACAAATTCTATGAAAAATGTAGGATGTGAAGAAGCTGCTTTAGGTTATCTTAAGTCTTTTGATGCCTGCAGACAGACATTTTATACAGGCTGAACAATAATAGGAAAATATGTACCTGGATTCTGCTTCTCAAACATTTTGATTCATATTGATTGTGATTTTTCATGCTAATTGCTAAATTAAGTGTGGCCATCTGCTCTCTGCACCCCAATAAATGACTGGGATGCAGAGACAAGATGCACTGCACTTGGGGGTGCATCCAAGCAGTCTCCTGTACAGTAAAATTTCAACCAAACAAGCTGATATCTTGGTGACTTATGCAATTTCATACATTTTGCAGCTTTTATTTTGGGCATAATCTATTACTGGTTTTATTGTGATTCTCTATTTAGACTCACATTTGGAACCTATTCTAGACTGACATAAACAGTTTTGTTTGTCTTGCATGTTAGTTTACCAGACCTGATTGCAATTTTTGTTGGGTAAGAAATGGAAGTTCAAGATTTTAGTCTCCTTTGTTGATTCTATTTTGTTTTTCAGCAGCTTTTTATTATTTAATCAAAGGTACGCCTCTCGATTGCAGATGTATGCAATGAGGGATAGAAGATATTAAACCACCACTCTAAAGGTGCCCAGCTTGCATGTGGGTGTTTACATTGTTTTTCTCGTTACATGACAAATGTTGCTCAGACAGCTGGACAGCCGTTCCTTCTGCCCACAATCAGTCATGTTTTATTAACATACCTCCAGTGGGTGAATCATCTTATCTCTTGCACACAAGGTAACAACCATCCATCCATCCATTTCATATATGTTTGGTTATGAGCACAATCTAAATGGACCCTCCTGTTACTCCTACTGATATCTCCAAAATGTATTAATTGTTATTACAGATAAGATCATAAGCAGAGCAGAAGTGTAGAATATGAAGTCTTTGAGAGAGTAAGGGGCAAATCCCATGGGCTGGACTGAGTGGGCTGACACTGCCACCATGTGGCTCAGATATGTAAAAAATAAATAAATTATGGATAAATACGATGAGCATGTGCACATAAGTACATATTAGTAGTATATCATGGTAATGTTGTTTATTTCAAGCTAAAGATGGTTTCACTAAACCATACTGATCAGAATGAAAAGAAATAAAGACCTTGTGTTTCATCAATGTGCACAAGTTTACCTAACTGACCCGGATTACTAAAAAACCTGACTTTTCAATCATACTCTTATTAATAAAATAGATCTGTACTGAGTGGGCTGCTCATCTTGTATAGAAGGGGGCAGTCAGCATGAAAACACAGAGGTATGCTCTCTAATGATATTTACTTGGCTGCAGATGGTCCTGGTTACAGAGATGTGTGTCTGAGATTTAAGAGGGTCAGACCTGCACCATGTCAGAGTCACAGAGGGCCGCCGTTTCACGTGCTTTTACCACCATCTCACACCACCACCTCTCATAGGGTGGCCCCTCTTAACCTCACAGTACTCGCTCCTCTGTCATTCACACACACTCACACAGAGCACTTATGTGAAATCAGTTTTATGAAACATAGATAAGGTCTAAAGCAGATCTACAGAATAAAACAGAAAAAACACCACATACAATATATACAAAGCACTTTGGTGAGAAAAATCTACAATAAGGCATATAAACATGTTGACAAAAACTGGGGAAGAGAGTCCATAACATTGTCAAAGTCTGACAAAAACAGTGCAAGCATATGAAAACAGAATAGTGTATAATTTTTTCCTCATCGGCCATTTAAAGCAAAAATACAAGTCTCGGCTCAGATAATCTCTCCTATTGATATAATATGACCATCAAGGAATATCCTTGATGCATCTTCTATCTGAGTGCTGCTGGCGTCAGCTGTGCTCATCGCTTCACCAAGTCTGCCAGGTCACCGTAAACTGCTGACCAGGCTTCAGGCATGTTTCTTCGCGAGCTGGAACAACATACTGTCAGCTTCTTTATATTACACCCCAGTCTGTCACTGCTCAGATGGCGGGTTGTGGCTTGGTCAGGTTCCTCTGGTGCATGCTGTGGTGGCGCACCAGCTCATCAGAGCGGGCAAACTTCTTCTGACAGTTGGGCCAGCGGCAAGTAAAGGGCTTCTCACCTGACAAAAAGGGGACAAAACGAAGGAGAAATAGAGAAGATATGGCTTTAGAATAAAACACCAATTAAGTTCACAACTTAGATTTATTAATGAAGTGAACTGAGAAAATTTGAGAGGAAGAAAATAAAAGGTATACGCACTTGTTTTACCTGTATGAGTCCTAGTGTGCGTCTTAAGGTGGTCTGACCGTGCGAACTTTCTCTGACAGGTCTCACACTCAAACGGTTTCACTCCTGCAGACGTGACGGTCGAGGCGGAAAATGTCAAGAGGGAGGATAGGGAGTCAAAGTATGAACAGCTATAAGGAGAAATTACTGTAATAAAGCTGGTTATGATGCAATCAGCAAAATTAGGGGTTACTATTTAAAAAAGTTATTAGGACAATATCATTGCATTTTGTGGCTTTGAAGATATTTCTTTTTTTTCTTATTTTGGGGGGGGCAAAAGATATCTATGTTAATTTTAATAAAATAAAACTTTACAATGTATTCACTTTTTGTAAGTATTGTATGTGTTGTTATAGTAATACCAGAAATTTACAATGGGAATCTTGAAGAAATTTTAGTAAACAGTTTTTCATTGACTAGTACCAACAGAGTTTCATTTATCCAACAGTGGTGATAACTTAGAGTAAGTAAAAAATATGCTTTAAAGAGTGTAGGATTTATTGACATCAAAAGCCCAAGCCTCACATTGCTGTAGATTTGATAGTTTTGTCTCTAAAGAGACCAAAAGGTGGGTATAAAACCTGACGGTCCAGTGTCTTTTGTCAATAAGTAAACCTTTGTGTATCCAAAAGTTTTAAAGCAGGGGTCTTCAACGTTTTCCAGGCCAAGGACCCCCAAACTGATAACGAGATGGAGCGGGGAACCCCCAGTTATATATATTGTATGAAATTGTGTTATATCAAACTGGTCCTATAGTCACTCTATTACAGATGGAGTAATGTAACAAAAGTAATTTCCGCCCTTGGATTATTCCTTGTTGATGGGACAGGCGTTCCCTGATTGAAAGAGCTCCTGTGGGCATTCATGACTGAAAAAAATTCTTCCTCCATTTATTTGTTTACTACAGTGTGTTGAATTCATGTTAATGTGTATTTAAAGTTATTTCAATCAGTGGGAAAAATTGCAGGGGGGAAATATAAAAAAAAGTGTAATCAATGAAAACTTTCGCGACCCCCATGCAGTACCTGCGCAGACCCCCTGTTGAAGACCTCCGTTTTAAAGCCTAAAGGGTTATCTGAATGCAGTATGGAGACATTAAATGAATATACCTGTGTGTCTGCGTTGGTGTCTCTTTAACTGGTCTGAGCGAGAGAATCTGCGGCCACATTCTGTGAAATCACACCGGTATGGCCTCTCCCCTGCAAAATATTCCCAAATACAGTTGCTGTTAGCACAGCTTCATCACTATCGCTTTAAGAAATTAATTAAAAACCCGTATTTCAAAATGTTTGTAACTCTTACCTGTATGTTTTCGGCCATGCATCTGCAAATGAGAAAGCTTGAAGTATCTCTTGTTGCAGCCTGGATGAGCACACACAAAAGGCCGCTTCTCACATGCCTCTGTGGACTTGGCTGCTAAAGGACCAATACTGGGCAACCGCCTGACATCCTTAGAAAAAAAAGGAAAATACAGTGAAAAGCTTTGTTAATTGATGTAATCATGTATTGAATGTGTAAATATTTCGGATAGCCGACTGACCTGAAGTCCTTTGAAGACACCATGTGTATGAATGTGGTATTGGGCACTGACGAGCATGGGTGGCGCTGGGGGCGCAGGTTCGCTCTCACAGCTGAGTGCATGGCTGTTGCTAAATGCAGATAAAATGTTCATCAGTGAGCAGGGTCTGAGATTTTAGAGTAAATCAAAGCCGTGAAATATATATATACATATATATATATATATAAACCCAGAAAATCTGCCTCTGAAGCAAGGTTTATTATTATTATTATTATTATTATTATTATTATTATTATTATTATTATTATTATTATTATTATTATTATTATTATTATTATTATTATTATTATTATTATTATTATTATTATTGTTGTTGTACCATAGAGTACAAAATAACAAAAGACAGTCTTAAAAAATTCTAGATCGTTTTCTGTTTTCTAACTTCTGTTGTCACATGAGAAAGAACCTTGTTAGTTGCATATCATCAGAGCAAAGAAATGATGATGATGATATCATCTGCATACATAGAAATAGATAATATAGTTATGTTGAAGGATTACTGATAATAAAGGAAAAGATTCATTGGTAATCTCTAATCACCATGCTGAAAGTAAAACACTAATAAATATTGTGAAACTCTATTTATATTCCCCCAAAGCTGTTAAAAGAACAGGCTCACCTCTTCATTGATGCCAGGGTGTTCATTTGGTTCCATGTCATGCATTCCAGCTGAGATGCCATTTGGTACAAATTATCACTATGAACAACATTAAAAGAAAGTTCTATCAAAAGATAAAGCAAAGATGATTAAATGCAGATGTATTTTTTTAAAGGATTTTTTGATGATTTGCTTATTAGCACATCCTCTCAGGTCAACAAACATCTCAGTTTTCTCATAAAGCACAGGCATTGCTTCTATCTTTACCTTGGCAGAACCCACTGCTACACGCACACATAGGCATGCACACTATTAAAGATGCGATTGCACTCTCTGTGGGAGTTAATGCCTCCGTGCCTAGTACACCCTGGATCAGAGCATGACATCACTCCGTCCTCAGCATCATTAGTGGCGAAAAACAGTTTTGGGGGATTTCTGGACGGCATTCCTTGAGAAGTCCTTGAGGGAAGGATCGCGATGGCTCGCTAATCACCACTGAGCTATGTTAAACTATGGAAAGGCTCATTGATATCTGACATGCACTGGCTTAGTGTAGAAGTATGTGCATGCATGTGCACGTTTGCGTGCTCTTGCTTGAGGGTTTCCAGTTCCTGCCATGAGCTCTAGCAGCCGCACACTCTTCCTTCTGCTTATCTGCTTCTGTCCCAATATTTGGGTTTCACATGTTCCTTTTCTCCAACAACATCTCCAGTTGGAATCTAAAGAATGTCCTCCTAATTTACTGCTAGAGATGCTTTACATCAAAATGAACACAAGCTGAAGACACATGTAGTGTCTGAAATGAACAGACTTCCTACTGCCACCCTCCCCTTGTGCAACTCTCACTCTCACTGAACTTGTCTCTTGTACTTTCTTCCCTCAGGGTGAATTCAGACACATCAGCAGTAGATCACCCTGTGTTTGTTTTGGCCTACTGAGCACCAGTTGGTAGCACTTAACCTCAGAACAAATGAGGATTCATGATACTGACGAAGCAGAAGCCCTTTGCAGAGCTCCTTATGGGATCAGAAAGAGTTCACACTTCCAAAAAATACCAAGAATCAGCAAGCTGTGTCAAAGGAAAGAATGTGACGTTAAAAGATGAGCAAGGAGGCTAAAAACTTTGTTGTGAGTGGAAATTGCATTCAGAGAGTGATTGAAGGCAGAGAGTGAGATTGAGAACAGAGTGAATGATTGTACCTGTTGTAGTTTCTTAGCAGTAGGGCTTGGTTGCTTGGGCAAGATTCTGACGGACTGTGACAACCAAACATGGGATTTGGTGCAGGATACTGCTGCTCAACTGAACATACAAAATGTAAAAAGATCATTTAAAATGAGCCAGCAATGCATGTCCTTCATATAAAACAATCAGAGTTCCCTGCCCACCATTTTTACCCATTTACCTTCCTTTTCTGAGCTCTGAGGACTATCTAACCATTAAAGGCATAGATTTTGTTGTGGGATCTATTGGAAAAGGCCATATATGTGTTCCCATGCACCCAGTATAAATGTATCATATAAACACAATAGTTTGTGGACAGTATAGGTATTTTACTCCATAAAGTGTTCTTTCATGTCGGGTCTGAGTTGAAATCTTCTAATATATCATATATTTAGGTCTGATTGTAAAAAATGTCTTTTATCAAAATATTCTTCATTTAAATTAAATTTGAAATTAACTGACCGATTGGTGAAGCTGCTGCTATAATGGACACACTGGACTGGTCTGTCTTGTTAAAGAGAGAGCTGAGCGAAAAGGCAAGTCTCTAGATTCACTGGTCTGTCTACGTTCCTACCCTCACCTATGGTCATGAAATCTGAATCATGATGGAAAGAACGAGATCTGAGATACAAGCGGCTGAAGTTAGATTTCTCTGCAGGGTTGGTGGGCGCTCCCTTAGAGATAGGGTGAGGAGGTTGGTCCTTTGGGAGATGCTCAGAGTGGAGACGCTTCTCCTCCACTAAGCTGAGGTGGCTCGGACATGTTTTTCTGATGCCTCCCACAGGTAGGAGGCCCAGGACACAATGGAGGGACTATGTCTCTCGGCTGGCCTAGGAGCGTCTCAAGCTTCCCCCAGCAGAGCTGGAGAGGGAGGTCTCTGCTGAGACTGCTGCCCCGCAACCCGGTCCCAAATAAAGTGGGAGACGTCAAGTATGATTACAAATAAAATACTTTTTGGTTATAACTATGATAATGTCTGGTTTATCAATAACACTCAAAGAAGCATTTTGTTTTACAAAGAAAAAAAGAAAACTAAACTAACTTTAGTTTGGTTTTCTTGGCAAAGAACAGGTGTTGTATTGCATAACAAATTTTAACATTAAAACATCTGGTTGTCAGAGTAGTCATTCTGCTGCTTTTTATATTTGGAAATCAGGATGACAAATGAACAGATAATAAAATCTGTATAGCTACAGACAAGTTGTCACACATAGTTACGACAAGGAAACGGTGACAACTGATTATGTGTCAGCTTCCTAATGTAGCATTTCATTTCTCTAATTTAAACAAAGCCTGAATAAATTCCAGGTGGTAGGAGAGGTGAAGAGTTTGGGGTTTGGATGAAAGGCAGTTTACCATAGTCTGCAGTTTCTTTCTCTTTGTAGTTTTAAAAGTTAAGTCACAGTTTTAATCATTTTCCAATAGGAACAAAAAGAAAGCATGACAAGAGCGTTATTTATGTTAGAAAATGTGTTTATTGGGGTACTTCTGGTCAGAGAAGTAAGTGAGTTAGTACTTTAAGTTGATGAATATGCAATGACTTATTTGTGGATCATAAAGCACTTTAAGATCCAACCAAAACCAGATGTTATTATACTGGCATGGACTTTTGAAATATTTTTGCTAAACAATAACGGTTAATTTAAGTTGCTTGCTATTTTTCACTGAGTTGAATGAGAAACTGTGATGCTTTTTAGGTTCATACAGTATACTGTTCCCATGACAGTTACTAGCATTCCAACAGAGTCTCAGAAGGTTATTCCCTTTAAGTTATGACTTTTCAAAGTCATTAAGGCCTGTGTGCCTGAAACGGAGACACTTGAATGAAAGTAGATATTAGCGATAGTGTTTGTGATATGAGAAATGATGGGTTACTTCTTATATAACCTTGATGAGACGTCATAGTTTTTCCGGTCTGGTGAAGATATGTTGAAGCACAGACACTTACCTATGCTGTTCGTCGGTGACAGCGTGTCTTCGTGCTTGAAGGACAGGCTGGAGAGCTGAGGAGTATAGTGGGAGGGTGTGTGACCATAACTGGGGTTGCTGTCTAAACCGACAGTGCCATAACCTGAGGAGAGAAACATGAAGAGACGGGGATGAGGAAAAAAAAATTTCTGCTGGACCCATTAAAAATGACCACCAAACAAACGGTAGTGACGTTTTGAAGCTTGTGAAGAAACCAGCGTTTGGTCAGTTATCTCTTTCCTGTTGGTAGTATGTCTTAGTTCCTGGCAAGATTACTGCAGAGAGGCATCCATCAAATAAGACTAAATCCTCTTTCCTCAGAAGCATATTCCCTTTTTCCCTCATCTATCTCTGGCTTGTGGTTGCAAAATTTATGGCAGGTGGAAAAAGAAATTTTGCCAAAACACAAGAGACAGTCTGAGAATGAGCTACTGTTGGATAAGGTCTGTAGACGAGAAATCAACAATATCAATCAGCTCATGAACTTTTGGTCATAATCTCAAACAGCAGCAGTTGTGATGTTAATTCAAAGCATTCTTGTAGCATCACATGTCAACTTCAACTGGATGCATATTTATCTTAATGTAAAAGTCGATGAAATCTCTGTATGACACACACACCTAAAGTAAGGAATATCCTGAGTCAGGCCTAAGCTGGAAGTTAAATAGTTTCTTAGAAAAATGACTCATTATTAAGTTATTTTTAGCATTACAAAAAAAAAAAAAAAAAAACGTCTGTTTTCTGTTTTGTTGCTTCATCAGAAACTGCTTTTTCAACTGAGCAAAAACAAAGCTGTAGTTCCAGACACATCAGCAGAGTCGGCCTTAAACAATTAAACGGCTGTAAAGTTAATGTTAAAGCAACAAGAATGATATGGGTTCTATGCTGCAGTGCTATATTTAACACTGTGAAATTTCAAAATGTCACCAAGGCTGAGTGGGAGTTAAACATGTTGTATGTATTTTTTTGGGGTGTGTGTGTGTGTGTGTGTGTGTGGAAACTTGTTTTGACAATATTTGTCAGAAGAGGTGCAAGATCTGTATTCTTTGACTTTGACTCTGGTCAAGGCATTTTTTTCTGAGCTCTCTGCCAGAGTTTAATTTTACATTTCACTTTAAAACGCAAAACTTATAAATATTAATACATATCAATATTTGGGGTAGGAAAGTACTTTACATTTCTTTAAAATTTTTTTGGTTTTGCTATTTTTTTTTATCTAAATAAAAACAGTGAAATGGTTTTACACCGTTATCATAAGTTTAAGCTATTCTAAAACCTTTGAGCAACCTTTTATGTGTTCAAACCAGAGGTGTCAAGTAACGAAGTACAAATACTTCGTTACTGTACTTAAGTACACTTTTTAGGTATCTATACTTTACTCCATTGCTTATTTTTCCTCCTACTTCTGACTTCTACTCATTACATTTTCAAACAAGTATCTGTACTTTCTATTCCTTACATTTTTAAAACAAATGTTACTCGTTACTCTTGGCTTTGGTTTTATGCAGAGGTCACGGATTAGCGAACCGCGGTCCGGTGTTATGTATGCCAAAAAGTGCTTGCCTGCCGAGATATGCATCCCCAGTCGCGGGAGCGCGTCTCGCTCTGTACAACTGCATATCAACGAGGAAAACGCATTAAAATATAACCAATGGAGCTACTTGTTGTTATATTAATGAAATAAAAACATTTAGATATACCTCTCGTGGGAAACAAATTGTGGTTATTTGGCAGATTCATTTACAAAAGTACGGGTGTTATGAACAACATTAAATCCAAAGATTTTGTCCGAGGTACGGCTGATTTATATGTTGTAGTCCTGTTATTCACACACAACAATAAACAGTGATAGCCGACGTGAGTTTTGAAACTGCAAAGCTTTGTCTTAAGCGGCACATCAAACACGCATCCACACAGCACAGGGTTCACAGACCAGCGTTATGCCAACAAGACCTCCCTCATTCTTGGCCCTATCTCAAAGAATTTTTCGAAATAGCTGAAAAATTAGCTTTCAATTCAAATAGTGGCATCTGGCTGTTTATTTAAAGGTTACTTTATACTTTTATACTTTAAGTATTATATAGTATAATTTAAGTAGTTTTTGGAGCACATACTTTTTCACTTTTACTTGAGTTAAGAGGTCAAGTTGATACTTCAACTTTTACCAGAGTGTTTTTAAACTGCAATATCTATACTTCTACTTAAGTAAGAAATGTGTGTACTTTTGACACCACTGGTTCAAACCCAGCTTGTACATTAGTGAAAAGCATGTCTGTTTAGTTGTTTATTGAGAGGATGTTAACTTTTAGTCAGCACAGAAGGACTTGCTTCATTGTTAATATTGGAGTAATAATTCTCTCTTGAAGATGTTTCTTCCCAAAAGTGATAGCCATGAAAGTGGAAGGAAATCTCTAATCTTGTCTCTGCCTGATTCTGTTAAAGGCACGGGTAAGACAGGTTCCTTACCCTGGTTCCTGGTTGGAGGCGGACTCTCCACACAGCCAGGCAGGTAAGCCCCACCAGAAAACATTCTTTGACTTGAGGCTGTCTCCCCAAAGGCACCCACCCGACAGGGGCCCGAACCTGTGAACTGGCCGGAGAAATGCACGGTAAAGGCCCCGAGACCACAGTGTGGGTCCTCGGTTAGGTCGGCAGACCCCCAGCTGGGCTCCTGCTTTATGAGGGAGTGCTGTGAGTTCATGGAGCTGTAGGGAGAGCCAGGATGAAGGTCCAGCAGCTGGGTCCATTGGCCGCCACCAACAGGTAGCGTTCCAGCTCCTGGTAAGGATGGCACAGGGGGTGCCGGTGGTAAGAGGGTCAGATCGCAGACCTCTGAACCCACTGACACACCTCCACAGTTCAGTTCAGTCAGCATTTCTAAAGACAGTTTTAGACAGTCAAAAGAAGAATAGATGCTGCTCCAAAAAAACAAGGATACAAAGAAAAAGACTCAGGGAGTTCCTGAGATTATCAAAAAATATTAATGAAAAAACAAAAAGTTTGGATCCAACATTTCTTCAGAATTAAATAAAATTCTCATCATATATTTCCAAAGCCATTTTTCTGCTACTTATGATGGAGTAAAACATGAAAATAAGCGGCTTCTAAAAGCCTGGAGGATATAGCTGAAGCTTTTCCGGTACCTGCAGAAATAAGTGAGAGTCTATAAGGTTCACAGTGTCTGCAGGCTCTGTCTTCATTATGGCTTTCCTTATTCTCCTGAAGACTGAAATACTGCAAAACTTGGAACAGGGGGGAGGAGCAAGAGCCTTAAAAGAGGATGACTCTCTGCTTTGCTCCAGCAGCTACAGGCTGCATGTCTAAGTAGATTCTGACTAATGTCATGTTTGTTTGACTGTGTGTTGCTCTCCACTCTTGTCAAACTGAAGTGTTGAAGGTTTGAGTGAAGCAGTGAGTTAACAGGATATTTAGTGCCTAAATGTTTAAAGTTGTATCAAATTCATTGAAATGAACTGTAAACCCACAAACACATAGATAAAAATGTGTGTATAAGTTCACCGAGAAAACTATGCTTTGTTGTCCGGCTACTTTGATTTGAGAGCATCATTCCTAACAGAGCATTGTTATGCTGAAATTCTTCTCTCTTTTTAAATATGCTCTAAATTCAACTAAAAGAACAAATAGAAAAAAATATATATATAAAGAAAGGATGAACAACAGGGTTGGAAAAACAGCAGAATACAGTAAAAGCGTAACATGAACTCTAAAAGTTAAAGTGTTTTGTTTGATTTTTTCCCCCTCCTTTTGGACTCGTTTGCTAAAAGCATCTCACATAAAGAGCATGGCCTTGGAGCAGAGCCACATCACACAAAAGGATAATTATTTATTAGTGGAGTAGAGGGGGAGTTCAGTGTGGGTGTGTGTCAGACACAGAGGTTCCAGCTTTAACTCTAACTTTACTTTAAATACGCAAGAATGCAAGAGTTTCAATTGGCCGGTAAAAAGTAGCCAGCTGCTGTGGATCCTTTAACATTGGGGTATTTCTCAAATTAGCACAAGGGTTCCTCCTTTGTCTTTTCCCTGAAAGCTGACAAGCAAAAAAAAAAAAAGTGTTATAAACTTTTATTTAACCAGCAAAAAGGCGTGTAACCTTTATTGTATCAAACATATTTGGATAGAAAATATGGAAGATTCTCACTTTGAGAAATATTTTTAAGGGTTGAATTATTTGAAGATACATTATACAAATGAATTAAATGGAATTTTATTTAGATGAGTAAAAAAGTTTGTGTTTTATTACTTTTCACAGCACTTTTTAAAGACTTTGTGATCTAATGATCTGTGGGTGCTAGGTGTTTTTTGTTTTTGTTTACTTTTCTGCCTTATTTTGATTATGTTTATCTCAGTTTAAGCACTGTTACCTTGCAGTACGAAGGTTTTGGTTTTGATTCCCGGCCCAGGCTCTTTGTTGAGCTCTTTGTTGAGTTTGCATGTTCTCCCCGTGCATGCGTGGGTTGTCTCCGGATACTCCAGCTTCCTAAACATGACTGTTAGGTTAATTGACCTCTCTAAATTGTCCTTAGGTGTGAGTGTGTGTCTCTGTGTTGCCCTGCGAGAGAATGGCGACCTGTCCAGGGTGTACCCTTTCCCTCGCCCATAAACTTCGGAGAAAGGCACCGGCCACACCACTACCCTGACAGGACTAAGCAGGAGAAGATGGATGGATGTTTATTTATGTTTATTTCTTACCGTTGCTTTCAGTTAATAAAAAACAAAAGGCTTCAGCATTTATATGAACAATAAAGTTTGTATTATTTCACAAGATAAATTGATTCAATATGACCCTTGTAGTTATTATTGGGCCTGCACAGTGGATCAGTTGTCAGCACAGTTGTCTTGCCGCTAGGAGGTCCTGCATTTGAATCCCCCTTTCAAAGAGTTCATGTTCTTCTGGTAACTGTGTGGGTTCTCTGTGGGTACCCCAGCTTCCTCTCTCTTTCAGAAGAAATGTGATTATGGTGCTGAATTTGCGTGTGTATATTTTTTCCCCTTTATGAACCCGTTCTATCATGCAGTGGAGAAAGGCACAACATCCCAGACAGAAACCTACAAGGGATGGAGGACAGGCTGAACTGCTTCTGCTATCCCTGATTTTAGAAAGTAATGTACCTCCATTTACTTAACTTTTTTAAAAACACTTTTTATGTTTACAAAAGCTCAATCAGTAGATTTTGCCAATATAATTTTTTTCTTTCCATGTTGAAGTTGTTCAGAGCATCAGTGTTTTCAGCATGGTGTGAACCTGTTCAGTTCCCCTTATCCTTCCAAAATAACACAAGAAAGGTTGGCAAAGGTAACAGTTAGTTATAATATAACAATATTTAGGTACCCTGGGCCACAATTTGAAGATAAATTTTTTAGCTTGTGAGCTCAAAATTAAACCATCAAATATGAAAAAGAGAAAAATTATTTTTTTACATGTATTTATTCTGGAAGAAGTGAAAGTAATCAATTAATACTGTGTGAAATGTGTGCCTCCTTCTCCTCAAATCGGCTGTAAAAGTTAGAAAAAAAACCTCAAAAATGTTTACATTCAATATTTCATAATAATAAAAAAAAAAGGACTTTCGGACGTGAAAAGCATTATGTTCTGAGGTGACAAAAGCTTCTTTGGAAACTGAGGCAATAAAGTGTAAAAAAAACTAAAGGGGAACCTTAATATACAATGCTACACTCACCTGCCGAATATAACCTTAGGATGAATGTGTTTGATATAGACATGACAATAATAAAGCAGGTAGGAAAACTTTTTGATTGCTCAGTTTAAACTACTAATAAGGCTTTAAAAAAGCTTTTAACGAACCTTGAATTAACGTCACTGTGCAAAACAATGCTGAACATGCAACATGATCAGCACTGAGCAAAGCCTCATGGCTGAAGACCAGTGAAGAGGACACCTCTTTAAAAAGGTTCAACATATGGAAGTACAAATCTGATGCTATTATTTAAGTTTGTGGTTTTTATTGTAACATCATAATCTCCCAGGTTTCCTACAGTTAAAGAGTGCTAAGATTGTAGGGCTAGTAAAGCGCATCTGCTTAAAGGTATAGTGGAGGATGTTTCTTTCTGGGTGGATCATCAAAATAAGCGGTCCTCCTAATTGTCAATCATTCTGGTGATGTTTATGTCATCCTTCACGCTAGTCCCCATTTTCATTTACCGGTGGTTAGTCTGACATAGAGGAAAAATTGCAAATCTTCTTTTGGAAAGTAAGCTTGTATGAGCTTTTAAACACAGAGTGCACAAGGAGAAATGGCTAGAGCACACTTTCGTACGCGTTTAATAGGCGTTCCCCCTGGGAGCATGTACAGGGTGGCTCATGTGCTTTTTTTTTAAACTGGAGAGGGCGGGTCTTTTAAAAAATTCATGAAGACCCTCCATTATAACTTTAAGTAAAAAAAAAGAAAAAACAGGAAAAAAAAATCAGTGAAACCTATAGACATTTAATTAGTTTCATATTTAAATGAATTCAGACTGCTAATTGGCCCATTAGATTTCAGACAGAGGAACAGGGTATAGTATTAAAGCACTTTAGGGGTTAGGGGATGAAAAGTATTAAGACGGTTCTGTCATCACCATCTGGAATATGGCTTAGGTTTCTAGTAAATATCACTGACCCTGGAGTCAACCAAAAAAAGTGCTGAGTGTGGGAAGAGAAGAGAAATGAGATAAGAAGAGAAGTCACAGTTAAAGTGATGAAATCACTTTAAATGCTGAGCTTGCATCATTCAGACACTTTTTAGTCATGTTTGCAAGATTTCATGAAGCTACTGAAAAATTGTGTATTTTTTATTACTTAGTTATAACTTATGCCAAATTGGAAAAGCTTTTGACATTATACAACTTCTGCTTCAATATTCATAGTGATGCTTTAGCATAGGACATCCATTCCAATAGACATGACATAGATGTAATGAATGCTTTTGATAACTTTGCAGCAATTCCTCTGTGTGGTGTTGTGACCATATGGAAGATTAAGTGATCCCCGACATTTTTCTTAGATATAAACAAGTGCAAAGGCAAAACCCATATCCCAGAGGAGACCAAATTCACGTAGCCAATTTGAAAATAGTCACAAAGAAAATTAATTTCTCCCAGAACAATTATTTTTTTTAAAAGCCCTCTGTGGTCCACTCATCACAAATAAACACAAAGTAAATAAATGTTCTGTATGGACGAAAGGTTGTGCCGCAGTTCAAAGTTTCCTGCCAAAAAAACTGGAGTGAGAGACGAAGGCGAGGAGCTTCAGAGCCAAGGCAAATGCAGGCCATGCCTAAGGTTTCCGCAGAGGAGTCTTTAGTGGGGATTCATCAAAGGTGACAGGGCCGAGGGAGAAAACAACTCTTTCAGCCCCTATGACGAATGGCAGTCCCCAAATACACCCATTCTTTAGATCAATCTCTGGTTAACTCCGGGTTTAAAACAACATCTCGATGGAGGAAAAAGGGAAATATGGTCAACACCGCCTCTGACCCTTAGCAAGAAATAGACATGCCTGAGCTTTCGGCTGCAGAATGACTAAACTGGAATTTGAGAAGGGTATGGCTCAGCTGAGATGAAACATGATAAACTAGACAGAAATGAAACCTGGCTGAGCCACAAGAAGGGAATTACTTTTTCCATTTTAATTACATCTGTATGCAAGCTACTGCATCTGAAGTGGTTGTTTACAGCTCTTTTTGTAATATGTGCCAAATCAAAAAGACACGATTTACATACATTTTCCAAACATTTGCAAAGAGAATAAAAGTGACAACAATTTGTTGTGCAGGAGAGAAACTGCTCCAAATACAAGAGAACAACAGGTGGTATTTAAATGTGCTGACAGTGGCATAAATAAAGGCCAAGTCCTTCACTTCTCTCTGTGGGCATAGAAACACGGCGATAACAGAACCAGTAAACATGGTGTTGTAATATTGAATCATTTCCCTCCGTCTGTCTTAAGCTGTAGGAAATGGAATTTACTAGAAAATTAGAGTTGTGAGGAACAAGCTTCACCATAAAAAAACAAACAGAACAAAAAAAAAAAATATGGGATGGAAATCTACTTTCAGTTGTGTAACCCTGAGAAACTAATTGTTATACATAGGTACCATAATTTAAATCAGGTAGACAAAAAATGGGTAGTTGT